ATAGAATTATGATGAGAAGTTTTTGAAGTGACAATAGTAGGTAATCTTATTATCTGTTATTGGAAACTGATAGGTCAAGAAAAATATCTAGCACATAAAATATGAAAGAGATGTAGATTTGAACTGTACATTAAAGAGGAGGAGCTCTGTGCATGCACGCGTGCGTGCGTGCGTGCGTGCGTGCGTGCGTGCGTGCATGTGTGTACAACTCCATGCCCAAATGAAGCTGGTCAAGTCTTAAAGCACACTGAAAGCTGAAAGAGATTTCCAAGCCTGAACATCTCCTTGTCCACGCCTGCTTGGGGCTGGTCACAGTTACTCTGATCAAGATGGCGTGGTCAGGGTAACTTTGACCAGCCCCAAGCAGGTGTGGACAGAGGTACCTCTTAATCAGGATTTCTCCCTACAGAAAACATGTGCAGACTTGACCATGTTCTGAATTATAGAGCAAGTTTCAACAAAAACAGGAGTAATTATTGTCTGTTTTTCAATGTCAATGCAATTAAATTTGAGATTAGCAACAGATATTTTTAAATCTGATAGTTCCATGATAGCTGGGATTTGATCCCCAGTACAGAAATATATCTATATTTATACTTACATAAATATATTTTATAATAGATATAGGTATTTAAATGAATGTGTTTGAAAACTAAAAGAATTTATTGACATGTAAAGTAAAAATAGTGATATAAAATACAAATATTTCAAGCTGAACAATGAAAATATCATATTAAGCTGTTCAATATATCTAAAGAGGTTTAGAGACATGTGTTCTTATTTATGGACAAGAAAGCCTTCAAAGGTGTGAATTAATCTTTCATATAGAAAAAGAACCAATGAAACAAGATAAAGAGAAATCAAGCCAGGCTTAGTGCATGCCTGCGCTCAAGGCTGAGAAACAGAGGTTCTCAAGCTTGAGGCCCCCTAACTACAGAAGAAACCCTATCAAAAAAAAAAAAAAAGAGAGACAAAGTAATTGAGTTAAAAAAAAAACTTCTACATTTTCATTTATGTTCCATTTAATAATACCTGGTGCCTTGAAATTGATCTCTTGACTCTCCCACGTCTGGGGACTACATCCCTAGATGAATTAACCTTTGATGAGGAAAAAAATAAAAAACTGGGATAAGGTAAATGGACTTGGGGCAGAAGTTAGTAAGAAAATATGTCCTGATGCTTTGCTGCCTCAAAGAAAACAAGGAGGGAAATAGAATCCTCTTTAGAAGCTGAGCTCATGTAACCCAGATAGCATGGAGAATGGCTACCTCAGACTCCACACTGTACTGGGAACTTGGACATGAACATGGACCCTAGAGCACAATGGATTCAACAGCAGTTCAAGGGGCATTTGTCAGAGGGTGCTAGCCTGCAGAGATGGGCAAAGCATGGTATCCTAGAGGACAGAGTGAACATGACCTCAAGAGGTACTAAATAGTCTGCCCTGGGGCCAGGAAAGCACACAACTCCACAACCTCCCTGCTCTGCACTAGTAAGGGTTGAACATCCATCTCGGAAGTGCTAAGCATCAATAATTGGCAAAACAATAATTGTCTAATAGCAAGGATTTTGTTCCAAACCTATTAGAAGCAGCAGCTACCAGTTAATACAAGGATGAGCAAGTTTATGTCATGAATGCAATACTGGTGTGTCTTTAATTCACTGTGTAAAATTTAGGCTAACTCCAGGTAACAGGGTTTTGCCTCTTGAAATTCAGTTCATAGCTTTTAATTTGTTTGTTTTGACTCTTCAATTCCATTTTCTGTTTTCTGTGTGTTTGCATTTTTGAATGTTTTGAATGTGTTTGCATGTGCATGCCTGGCGTTGAAGACTGGAATCATCCTCAGTCTTATTTATTGAATTAGGGCATCTAAATGAAATCCAGAGCTCTCCAATGTGACTAGTGTTACTAGCCAGCTTACCCTGGGCCCTGGCTCCACCAGGCTAGATACTGAGGCTCAATTATGGGCTGGCACACCCTCCCAGCATCTCCGTGCTTGTATTGAAGGAGCTTTAACCACTGAGCCATTTCTCCAGCCTGTTTTAATTATTTACTGCTGTGGTGTGATCTGCCATGTGACAGAGCATGGTGACAGGTGCTGTCTTATTCTTACATTTAACTTTTGGAGATGCTCCTAAAATTATGTGGTTAAATCTTCTGTCTGCTGCCAGTTTGTAGAAGATACCTACTTTGGTTAAGGAAGTTGCCTTCTGTTTCTAATTTGCCTCTTATTTTCCTTTATAATGAATTAATAATGAATTTATCAAATACTTCCTCCTTATGAAATAGTCATAGGTTGTTTTTCTTTGCATATTAATTATTTTGGGCTTGAAATCACTCCTGTAATTTTAGAATAATCCTTCCTTGTCAATCTTGAAACTTAATATTAATATACATTTTAACTGTATTTACTAATGTGAAGACAGGATTGTTTGTGTAGAATGCAACATAAATTGCTGTACAGTATTCTTGGCAATTGTACTGTGCTTGTCTGATCTTGTCTTTATGTCTCATAAAATTTGTTGAGCTTAACCTCCTTCTCTGTCCTAGGAAATGCTTTATATACAGACAAAAGTTCTTTTACCTTAAATATCCAGTAAACCATACTGTGAACCACCAGTCTAACTTTTCATTTTAAGATTTAAAAAGGTAGCTTCATTCAATCCATGGTTGCTGGTGTGGATTTTCTTTCATGTGCAGACATTATCTGTTTAATTCACATTTGGAACAACTATTGTTACTGTTCTGAATGTGGAGAAGCCAGCAAAAGTAGAAGCTTTTAGGAATCCTTTTCACTTTTAGAACTCAATCCTAGGATCTACCATCAATGTTTTCTTTCTTCTTCTTCTTCTTCTTCTTCTTCTTCTTCTTCTTCTTCTTCTTCTTCTTCTTCTTCTTCTTCTTCTTCTTCTTCTCTTTTCTTTTATGCTGAACACCAAGCGACGGTCTGATTCTTTTTGGACAAGTACTCTACCATGGAGCCGCTTACCACCCCCACCAGCCTATTTTGGTGGCTGAACACCTTACCTTGGTAATCATGGCTCTGCAATTCATTATTTACAAAGCAGAGTTGAACTCCTGTTGAAAAACAGTAGGTACCCTATTGATAGCTGCCAGTTAGTAAAATAAACACTCCCTCCTTTGCTGTTGCTGTGATAAGATACCCTGACAAAACAACTTAAGGCAGAAAGGGTTTGCTTGGGCTCATCCTTCAAGGATACACCCTTCATGGAGTCAAGAGGCCGGGAGCTTCAATCGGCTGCTCCCATCAAATCCACAGTGCACGGCTGCATTCTCCATTTTATAAAGCCCAGGATCAAAGACAGTTGACTAGTCCTGCCCACACTAGCAGGTCTTCATGCTTAACACAATGAAGGTCATTCTCCACAGAAGCCCAGACACCATTCTCACTGGCGATTCTAGATTCTGTCAAGTTGGCAATGCCAATCTTCAAACTCCACTTAGTTAACCTTGTACTTTAGACTTTGTATGTTTCTTAGCTTCAAAATAGATGACAAAGCAGTTAGTTGTGTGGGTTGTTACTTTTAAATGCATAAATTTTAAGGAATATTTATTATAACTTATGTATTTTAAGTATCTGTGGGGAGGCATTCTGCCTCATGTGTCACTGTACTGACTTGTCCCCAGGCTGCTAGCCCAGATGCTTTGTTGGGATACCTTCCTCCATTTTTCTGTGACCTCGCCTCTCATCAGAACTCAGGAAGGGTGGTACCTCAGGTTGGACCCATTAAAGAGAAGATTTTATGGCAGGCCTTGGTAGCCTCAGTCTCTAATCTCCCCGAATTCCAATGTTTCTTAAAAGAAGAGTGGGGACAATAAAAAAAGGGGGAAGGCATCATGCATAGCCACAGACGTGCCATCTACTTCCCTGTCCCTGGGTTGTGACCACAGCATCCTGCCTTCCCTCTAGGGAGGGAAAGCATGGGTACTTCTCAGGATCAGCAGAGAGCAGCCACACTGCAGCTTTGTCACACTTGTTTGAAATGTGTGTTCCAAACTGACTCATTTGTTTGACAACTTTATTGACATTTCAAGTTCAATAATCACTTATGTATGAGTCTTTAGCCCTTCAGAGATTGTGCCATTTAAAAATGTTACATTTCTTCTAATCAGTGATTCACCAAAGGGTTTGTAGTAATGCCAGCCTTAGCATAAGTCCATTTATACATCGGCCCATCTAGCAGACGTACAGCCTTAGCATGAATTCTTGTAACATTTCCTAGTTACATGTGGCAGTGTTTCTCAGTGTGGCATTACTTATAGACTAAAGTCTGTATGTATGTGTCCATATATGTAATTATGATATATACACACACATAGGCATAAATACAAGGGCAGCATCTTTAAAGCATACATAGCTCATTTTAAATAGAGAAAACGATGAACAGCTGAACTATTAAACCAAGAATAAGTGGAACAAAATGGGGGAAATGACATATTTGTGTTTATTACGTTTTTTAAAGCATAATTAAAAAATAATCTCTAAATAATGACTTATCAGTTTAGGCCCTGGTTTTAATAATTAGAAATTATAACAAAGAATGGCTTTACTAATTGAAATCTCAGTTTTGATAAGCCCTTATTTCCCTATTAAGATGGCTTCCTGAAGGTACTACAAGAAGTTAATTAATCCATTATTAATTAGGTTTGAACTGTTTTTCTGGAGTATTCAAATAAAAAAAAAAAACCTGAAATACAATACATCCAAATTGATTTTTAGTAAATTGACCATTAGTGACAAAGTAAATATAATATATGATAGTTTTATACATGAATGTGGTAAGAATATATAGCATTCAAACTAGAATTTCCTAATTTTGAACATTGATTTGTCTTCTAAATTTATTTTGTTCCTGAAAATTCAAACACTGAAGTAATGTTTTACAAGTATTTCCTAATTGCCCAACTGTAACCTTCCATGAAAAGAATGTATTCTCAGCAACTAACAAGTATGCCTTTTCTTCTCTCGTTTTCTTAGCCTCTTAGCAAGTACCCCGCTGTGTTCAATGACATTTCGTTCTGGCTGCCCTCAGAGAATTACATGGAGAATGATTTCTATGACATCGTCCGAACAGTCGGGGGAGACCTGGTGGAAAAGGTTGATCTTATAGACAAGTTTGAACATCCAAAGTAAGTGAAAAGCTTTCTGATTTTATCCCTTACCATCTCTGTGTGACAGATGGGACTTGGAGACTTACAACAGAGTTTCGCTGAAACCCATCGTGCCAAGACACAGTGTCTTCTGAATTCATACTGGAGGGAGGGAGGGGGGGTGTGTGTGAAAACCTGCGCCAGTTCTCGCAGAAGATTTCCTACAATGCATTCTTATCCTTTTCTGCCTTGCTAAAGAAAGTTCATGAAGCAGAATGTTTGAAAGGTCCTTTGTGAAGTGGTTTCTAGCCACATCACCCTCCAGGTGCAGGGTTGATGAGACAGGAAGGAAGTGTGTGAAGCAAATCTTAGTGCACATTTCACTTTCCATACAAGATCCACTGTCGGTCCTAATACTCAATGTACTCCAAACAGTGTCTTCTCTGAGTATGCTGTCTTATGGAAGGGGCACGTATTAAATAAATAACTGCACACATTTGCAGTGTAATGAGGGAAAACACACCATCAATCAATCAAAGAGCTGATGCCAGCTGTGGTATTGGACCAGCTGTTGAAGACATTGAAGGTGAGCAGATGAACACGGAGCTATGGCCTAGCGGTGACTGCCTGTAAAATCCCAGCTGCTTCAGAGATTGAGGCAAGAGGATTGCAAGTTCCAAGTCAATTTGAGCTATAGAGTGAGCTCAGGCACAGGCTGGGAAACTAATGAGATCCTGTCCCAAATTTTAAAAAATAAAAGAAGGAACGAGGATACAGCTCAGTGGTGGAGCATTTGCCTAGCATGTGAGAGGTCCCAAGCTCAATCTCTAGCACCATAGAAAGTACTCAGAAAAAGGTATGGTAAGCAGTCTAGGAATGGGAAAAGAACATTCCAGAAAACAGACTTGAAAGGCAGACATAATAGCTCATGCCTATCTATAGTCATAGCAGTTGGAAAGCTGAGGCAAGAGGATTGCTTTGAGTTCAAGGACAGCCTAGTCTCACTCAGCTACATAGTGAGACCCTGTCTCAAAAGATTTTAAAAAATAGAAAAATAACCTACAAAGAACAAAATAGAAATAAAATAGAATCCTCTATTGGTAGGACAGTGACACATGCAAGATACTGAAGGCAGTGAAGGCATGTGACTAGAGGCTCCGGGGTAAAGTAAAGAGGTGAGTCTTAGATAGAGATGTGTCCATAGGCTCAAGCAGGGCTAGAAGGCACAAAGCCAGACCTTGGGTTTTACACTTGCTGTGATTGGAAGTGTGTGAACAGGAGAGATGGAGAGATGTTCACCTTCCTGTCTCGTCCTTCTCTCTCCAAAGATCCTTCTTGACTCCCCGCTACTGGATGGTCACTGAATGTGACCTAACAGCCCTCCTGCCCACCTCCTGGTCGTCACACTTGTATCATTCCCACGTGGCTGCCCTGGCGCTTCCACTCTCTAGCTTGCTGAACATGTGCCTTCTCTGTGCTTCTTGTTCTGTTTTTTAACTCTTCCTTTCCTAGATGAAGGCATTTGGTACTCTCACTTCCAGCTCTTGCCTCATTTCTCCAACTATTTAGACATCCTAACATTCATTGTCAAGGGCAGTGTTTGCTCAAAGACTTGTGGAAATAGTATCTTGTGAGCCTGTGTGTTTTCAAAACCGTCAGTCTCTTTATAGCTAAATGAGTGTCACTTAGGTCAGACATAATGTGTACTGTTAATAATCTCTTGATGTCTTGAGTTTAACTTGGCATAAAGAAATCTAAAGCCACACTTGAGCGTTTTTGCTTTTTGTCCTAAAAGATTCTTTTGTTGTCTAAACGTTGGCTTCCTTGATCGGGATACCCCTCAGTTGCAACCTGTTCTATCTGATGTGCAATCTTTCAGAAAACTCTGCTTTTGCTTTAGGGAAGCTTTCTTAAATTATCTTTCTAGGTTTGTTCTGAGAACATGCTTTATCTAATATCTGTTCCTATTATTTCTCTCTCATCTTTTAAATCTATTTCCACTTCACCTTGTAGGCCTCCTTACTATGATATTCTCTGGCCCTAGTTATGTCTTTACTGTCTCTCCTCCTAGCCACACATCTGTAACCCCTCTTCAGTTACTGCTTTCACCTCTGTGGTATCCTGAGAGCTCACATCCTGTTCCTCTAATCTTAACCTTGTCATCTCCTCCTTATGTCTAGTTTTGTTTTTTGGTTTGGTTTGGTTTGGTTTGGTTTGGTTTGGTTTGGTTTGGTTTGGTTTTTCAAGACAGGGTTTCTCTGTGTAGCCTTGGCACTGTGGCTACCCTGGAACTCACTCTATAGATCAGACTGGTCTTGAACTCAGAGATCTGCCTATCTCTGCCTCCTGAGTACTTGCGTTAAAGGGATGTGCCACCACTGCCCAGCTTCCCTATGTCTGCTTTATCCCCCTCTTTAATAGAGAAATTGCTTCACTTGGTTTTAACACATCACTGCAAAATAGTTAGTCAGAAATTGTCTGAGCTCCAGTGACGGCAGTCTTTCGTCTTAGCATTTCTTGTAGTCAGCTTTTCTACCACTTTCTTCATTTATCCTTTCACTCTATTTTGATTGATGAGCATGTTGTGGAAATTTATTGCCTTTTTGTCACTCATTTGAATGCATTGGGTTTCTTAGACCAAGTGCTTGCTCAAGCTTGGCACGGGAGGTTGGGAATTGGCTGGGGTAGACTCAGTTCCTCTTTCATGGTAACTTGTTATACTAGCAAGGCTTTTTCCCCTCTACTCCCACGAACCAACTCTTTGCAGTACTGGAAAGTGAATCCAAGGCCTCACACTTGCCACTCTACCACTGAGCTGTGTCTCTTGACTATTTTTTGCTTTTTATGTTGAGATGAAGTCTCACTAAGTTACCCAGATTGGCTTTGAATTCACTGTAGTTGAGGCAAACTTGAGTTTAGATCTTCCTATCTTAACCTCCTGAGTGGCTAGGATTACAAACTCACACTGCGAGGCCCAGATTCGTCTTCCATTCCTGCCCTCTACTCATATTCTTTACTTGTTCAAAGAAATTGGACTCTTGTTCATCCCAGAATGGACATTTACTGATGCTTCCTTTGCACTTCAGATTATAAACCTCAGCTATTTTTTTGGATCTTTTGTTATATGTCTTATCCATTTGGCTTTCTACTTGATTTCCACTTTTGGAACCTGTATGTGCTACTTGCCCCCCAACTTTACTAAGATGTCTGGCTGAAATGCAATGTCTGGTGCTCTAGCAGCTCTTTTGTAGCAAGGTGTGAAGCTGTCCAGGAGAGCAGTACCATAGAAGCTCAAAATCCTGGCTCTGGAGCCTGTTACCTCAGCCCTAGATCTATAGTGAAAGTGAAGCATCTTATTGAATACAGGTGTTTGTCCTTCACATCCAGAAATTAAACCTAGTCCATACCACTGAGGAACATGTCTGAGGAAAGATGTTCTTTAACAGTGTTGCTTACTCTGGAGTAATTCTCAAGCAGGCTTGAGGGCAGGAGTCATCATTCTTCCCCAGTTAATATCAAGAGTTTTCATTTTGTGGGCCTTCTTGTCTCTCCATACTACCTGACTGCCACTGTAAAAGCAGCCATAGACAAAGTGTACATGCCCAGGCCTGGCTGTGCCTCTGGCCGCCCTAAGAATCAGATCTGGCCTATGTGCTACAGTTTGCTGACTCAAGACCCCACTCTGAGTCTGCAGCCCTGATCTGGGAGGTTGTCCTTCCTGGTTATCCTGCACCCCCTCTTTCCATGGAAGACCCCCTGGGCATCCTGCACCCCCTGTTCCCATGGAAGACCCCCTGGGCATCCTGCATCCCACCCCCTCTCCGCTTCAGAAGGCCCCATGGCTGGGTGGGGGGTGAACTTGCTGGTACCCACTTTGAGAGCATTCTCTGCAGACATAAGTGAAGATGCTACAAAGGAACCTGGACCATTTCTCTGCCTGACATCCAACATACACCAACATGGAAGAAGCATAAATGATCCTCTCTGAGATAAATAAGTGTTGGACAAATTGTGTATTGTGTTTTGAACAAGAGCACATCTCAGGATGTCTGAGGGAAACATAATCTACTGAATATGGGGCTAATTTCATAATGTTCAACAAATGGAGGAATTTTGTCTCAATTACAGATAACACAGTCTGTCCCCTGCAGGAAGATAGATGCATGGCTTAGGAGAAAATAGCATTTGATTCTAGCTGGTCACTCAGAACCTCTTTCCAGAGGGTCACTATGACTTCCTCTCTGGGCCACTTAATGTACTACAGGGACTCTGTAGTTCAAAAGTTTAACCTAACAACAAATTCAATAGTGGCCATTCCTTCCCAGGGTTGCTGTCCGGGCCTCTGTGGATTGTTACTCTCTAGGCATGTCCTGTCCAATGAAGGCAAATTGTAAGCCATCTTGTATATGCCTTCAGCTCCCTTAGGAGGCATCAGTCATCTTTAGTCTCTGAGTTCATGCAGCTTTAAGAATTATAGTGCCAAGTTTATTTTCTTATGCGAAACAATTGTTCAAAATATTTCTAGCCTGGGGCATGAGAGAGAGTAAAGAGAATCTGGGGAAACCAGACCATTTTCTCCAGGCTCACACTCCATTTGGAGATGGCAGCAAGTTGTGAATTATAGAGATAAATTATAAAACAAAATGGCCTCAAATAGGATGATTTGGGTTGAGTTTAGGATGTGTTTTTGAGAGAATTAAAATTTTGTTGTTTTTTACATATTTGGGTTGACGCTTAAGAAGTACATAGCAGTAAAAACGCAGGTATCTGCAGCAGACACACTGATGTCCCCACACCAGTTTTGCTTGTAGACACATCTCTCTGAGACTGCAGTCCTGCCACTGTTCATGTGGTCCTTATGGGGTCTTCTGAGCCTTGTTGGTCAGAGCTGTGATGCTAGAGGGATATAAATCCTGTTCAAAACTCACTCAAGATGGGTGTCACTTTTCTTCTTAGCTTCCTAGAGATTGTATCTCCCTTTGTGACCCATCATTTCACTTACTAAATTGTCATAGAGGGTGTACCCAAATACTGTCATCTTCAAAGGTCCCCAAGAGGTCTTCACTGAGAGAAGTGCTTCCCCAGGTGGCAGCCTGGCTGTCTTGGGACAGTAGGAATTTATTAAGGATTTACTTGAATCTGAATTGCAAGGGTCTTGGGAACAGCTCCCCCACTTCATACATACATGTTAACCTGTCCTCCTCATGTCCCACAGCTTTCCCTAGATAATTCTCTCCGTTATTCCAGGGTGGCTTTTGCAAAGAGCCATAGCTCAACTAGTGTTCACTACCACCACCTCGGAGCAGAGTGCTTTGATTGGGCTGCCTTCTGGGGCTCTACACGGTCTGTGGATGACAATGAGGCCAGAATCCAGTGTTGGGCTTGTTGGGGGCCACTCATCAAACAGCCCTGCTGTTTTGTATTCTCTGACACATTTCAAGTAGACGGGCTGACAGGAGAGTTTTTTTCAAACCAACACACAAGTGCTGCCTCCCTTCCCCGTCCAGGTGCAGACCCTGTGACTGCTTCACTTGCTTACTCTGTATCCGACTCTTCATTTACACAGGTGCTGTTTTAGGGTGAGAGCTCCCTGAGGGCTACTGTGCAGTAGACACTATGTTTGGAATGCTTTTGTCTTTCTGAAACCTGTGCCGAAGTTTAATCACCACTGTGCTAATACGGAGAGGTGGACCTTCAGAGAAGTGGGTGAGCATGAGGCCAGCCCTTGTGGATGAGGTTCTTGCCCTCCTAGAGGAGTCACAGCTGCCTGCCCTGTGCTCTCATCCATCACGTGAGGGCACAGTCTGGGTCCTGATATCCTTGTGTCCCTCCAGCCCAGTGAGGGTGTGTAAGAGGAGCCTCTACAGAGCCAGCAGCACAAGTCTTTACCAGACACCAAATCTGCTGCCATCTCCATCTCATACTTGCCCCAACTGTGAGAATTACTTTCTATTATTTATGAATTGCCCAGGCTAAGGTATTTTGTTATATCAGCCAAAATAAACAAAGGCCAGAGTAGCTCACTTCTATCTTCTTTATAATGGTGGCAAGACCCTTACTATCTTCACTAAATGTGCTTGATAATTAATCTTCTTTCTTGGAAGAGTTCTTATTGTATGACATGTTGGATAACAGCAGAGGTGCTGTGTTTGGTAGAAATAGCCTGGAGCATGTAGTGGGATGCAGTAGAGCAAGTCCTGAACTCATGTGTATAATATTCTGTTCTGAGCTTGTATTTCCTCACCTGCTATTATAAGTGATATTTTCCTCCAATGATTGCTTTAAAATAGAGCTATGTGTATGGAATACATTGAAATAATTAGCTATTATTGTTTTGTTTAAAACAAACAAACAAACAAACAAAAAACAATAACTTCCAAACACTCCTGGGATCGCTGGGAGACTGGGGTTTGGCAGCCAGCTCCATATGACTGCAAGCCCTAGGAGTGAGGAGAAGAGCTGGACTTAAAAACTGTCCATCCAGTGATGTGCTGTCACCTTGCAGCTTAAGTAAGTTTTTAAACAGAGGGAGAGGGAGAGAGAGAGAGAGAAACACACAGAGAGAGAGACAGACAGACAGACAGACAGACAGACAGACAGACACAGAGACAGAGACAGAGAGAGAGACCTTTGCAAAGTGGCCTCAATACTGACCATCAGAGCTGTGCATCCTGGGTCCTGGGTTGAGAAAATGCTGTGGACAGAGGCAGGTGGGGTAACTTCTCTGGTTTGCTTATCATTCCTGGTCTTGTGATGGAACCGAGTGCTCTATCTGAACTTAGAGATTCCTTAGCAATCTTTTGTAAGGATTATAATAATAGTAATAAAATAATAATAGTCTGCCCATCTTAGGAAGTCTATGGGTGCAGAAAGCTTGTCAGAAGTTGTGTCCCTTGAGAATGACAACATGGATATGATCCACAGGGATGTCCAGAGGCAGCAGGGTCTGTCTTTGAACTCACCTGTCCTGCTTCCTTTTCTGTTTTTGTCCTGCTCCAGGGGCAGAAGAACATTTATTGTGCTTCACATGGCCCCGAAAGCAATTCTAAGGAACTATTTTCAGCTTGGACACCGGTTTTTACCTTTCTTCCTTTTTTTCCCCCAAGCTGCCTCTTTCCAGCATTCTATGAAGGACGCATCCCATCACCTCCACACAGCAGGACCCACACATCACCTCCTCACAGCAGACTCCATCCCGTCACCTCCACACAGCAGACTCCATCCCGTCACCTCCTCACAGCAGACTCCATCCCGTCACCTCCTCACAGCAGACTCCATCCCGTCACCTCCTCACAGCAGACTCCATCCCGTCACCTCCTCACAGCAGACTCCATCCCGTCACCTCCTCACAGCAGACTCCATCCCGTCACCTCCACACAGCAGACTCCATCCCGTCACCTCCACACAGCAGGACCCATCACAGGGTGGCACCTTGCGTTACCTCAAATCCTCAAGTGTCTTTTGCAGGTGATGGCTCAGCTGAATCTTGGGGACAATTGGGTTTAAAGTGGAAGCTCCCCCCAGATTCCAGGCAGACTGAACAGAATGTGTGAGAGAGAAAGACAGAGAGGTGAGCAACGTCACACAAGCACAGAAATGTGTAGGGAAACAGCTGCAAGCTCAGAAGGCGCTGGAGGCTGCCCTGTCCCTTCCTGCTACTAGAAAGGAATATAATGATCAGTGACCCACTGATGACATGTCCAAGCCTGGGAAGTCCAAGAGTATTGTACCAACCTCTGGGAAGGGCCTTGTTGCTCTATCATAGCAGGAGGGAAAGGGGAGCATGCTGGCTCTTCTCCTCACAGAACCATCATCCCACTGTGGGACTCCTCCTTCCACACTGCCTCTGAGCACCATTATCTCCTGTCCACGTTTGCTTCTCTGTCACTGTGATAAAACATTGACCATAAAACAGCCTGTGGTAGGAAAGGGTTTATTTTAGATTTACAGGTTGCAGTCCATTGTTAAAGGAATCCAAGGAAGGAGCTTAATGCAGAAGCCATGGAGGAATGCTGCTTTCCGGCTTGCTCCACCCAGAACCAACTACCCAGGGCGGCATTACCCTCAGTGGGCTATGTCCTCCTGCATTAATTAGCAATTAAGAAAATGCCCCTACAGAGCCAATCTGGTGGTGGCAATGTTTCAATTGAAGTCCCCTCTTCCCAGCTGTATAAAATAGACAACCAAGTTTAGCCATTATACTTCCAAAAGGCCTCATCACCAGATGCCATCAACTGTGAATTGGGGGATAAGTTTCTAACATGTGAACTTTTAGGGGCGATGCATTCAAGCCTCTATAGAAGGCTTGTTTTCCCTTACAAAATTTAGCTTATCTGGTAGAAAATCGGGAAAGTTGTTGATCTAATTCCACTTGCCTTGTTTAAGGACTTCCTTTCCTTACTTTCGGAACAGTGTTGGCCATGAAGACTTGAGGCTAGAAAGAAGTTGATGGATGTCTGTTGGTCTGTCTGGTTTGTTATTGTTTTAAACATACTATTCCAGAAACAGAAAAACATGCTTGTGTCTTTCCATTATGTCAGAATGTACTGAATAACAAATTTACAATATAAGTTACTTTTACAGGCAGCAGTTTGCCTGATAACCCCACTTGCTTTGGCAATCTAGTCAAGGTGAACACATTTCTGTCTTAATTTCAAATATTAACTCTTATCACATGTCACACAGTACACAAATATATCCCTTTGTCCCTTTGTACCCATTCTGTAGCATATGTGTGTATAATATCTGCAATATATATAGCATATATTATACACCTATACAGATATATCTGGTGTGTGTGTGCGTGCACACGCATGCATACACACCAAAGGTGCAACTATAGAGTTTTAAGAGATTTTAGGAGTGCTGATAAACATGTAATGGAACTGTATTGCTAAGATAAGGAACCCAAATCATCTCTCTGAAAGAACCTGCTGCTGTAGTCTGGGCAGAGAACTAAGATGAGCCCTACCTCGAGGTGAAAGGTCAGGACCAGGTTCAAAGCTGCCGCCAGTGAATGGATGAAAGGTGGTTACTGATGGGCAAACAGGAGGACAAGCAGACAGCAGCTGAGTAGGCTGTGTTAACAGCAGGGACAGGTTTTAATTTTCTGCCTGTTGGTCCTTGACGGACATTCTGGTTCTGGATGTACATGGTCTGTGACATATGTACTGGGAGTCAGTAGGATGCCCTGTCATCTTAGTAGTAGGTATCTGCTTTTTTATGTAGTGCAAGCTAAGGAGTTAGACCCTTTCTTCAACCCGGTATGTCTGATTAAGTTCTTGGGGTGGGTTTTTCTGATACAATTTTAATATGCCAATATGCCCCTACAATCAAAATTCACCATTATAAACATATAGAACAAAACCCGTTTTACTCCCAGAAATAAGTCATGTTCCATGCCAAACAGATGGTGCTATTTGTGTGTCCACCCAGGTGCATAGCTGTCCTTTTTTCTCTGTAAAAAGTCTGTAAAATAGAGTCCCTTGGGGGTAATGAAAAAAACCCACCATTTTACATCATCTGGAGTAATTTAGCATAAGGCACAACCTAAACATAAGTGTTTGTTTGTTGTTTCAGGCAAGCCCTCCCTAGGCAGCCCAGACTGGCCTCAGACTCACTGAGGTCCTCCTGCAGTTATAAGCAGATACCACCACACCAGATTGGGGCACACCTCGTAAATCTGAGTGAGCACCTGGAGAGATGGCTCAAGACTTAAAAGCATGTACCATTCTTGCAAGAGTATTCAAGTTCAGTACCCTGTGTCCACATCAGCAGTTCACAAACCACCTGTGCCTGCAGTTATAGAGGAACCAATGTCCTTCTCTGACTCCCATGGACTTGCACACACATGCACATACTGACATGTAGACACACACATACACATCATATAATTAAAATCAAAATCTTTTTTTAAAGAGTCTAAATGAGAAAAGAGTCTGGGCTAAGAGAAAGTCAGGTCTTGTGGAAGAAGCTGACTGGAAGAATATTTAGATGAAATCCATAAGAATGACAAGGCATTTGAGGAAGATAGAGAGGTGACAGACCTATCTCCTGGTTGTGTGACCAGGAGAGCAGTGTTTGAAAGTAAGGTGGAGATAGAAGGAACAATGCCCTGGTTATTCTGGACATCCTGAATTTGGGGTTGTGGCCACCAGAGCTCCCGAGAGAGGCAGATCGTAAAGCATGCTGCCTGAACAACTGGTACTCCAGGAAGACCCAGGGGCCTTGTGAGTATATATATGGCTAGGAAAATCAGAAGGAAGGAAGGACTCTGGAAACATCAGTGTGAACAGAGGGTAAAGAGGAATTGTGAATGCAGGAATGGAGGCTGAGTGATAGCCATCCTCCAAGATTCCTTCCCATGCAGTTAGAGTGCAGACCTGATGGCAAGGTTGCACCACTGACAGAAAATGTTCTGAAGTGAGGGTTCGTATACACTCACACACACCATGTTAATGACACAAATGTTAATGACAGAATTCTTGTTTTACATGCATGTATGCATGTATGTATCCAGTGTTTTGTGGGCCAGTGTATTCTGACTGGATACTAGACCTGCCTCTTTTTAGTTAAATATCAAATGTCATTTGAAAGAATGCTGTGGGAACTTTTTCGTGTCGTTCCTATTTTTATTTTCCATTCTTTTACAGCTTGTGCAAGGCAGGCCAGGACAGCTGATGAATCTATAGTCCCCTTCTGGGCATGAATTACTCAGATGCAAGATTAGAGATGAGAACTCTGGGCCAGCAAGATGGCTCACTGGGTGAAAGTATTGGTGCCAAGCTTGACAACCTGTGTTCAATACACAGAACCCATTTGGTGGAAGTCAAGAACTGACTCCTTGAGTTGTCCTCTGACCTTCATGTACCCACCATGGCACATTCGTTCACATAAACTCACACCTCCCCCCCCCACACACACACATTGAATATCTGTTTACTTTTTTTTTATATAGAATGAGAGTTGTGCTGGAGATATAGTTCAGCAGTTAAGAGCACAACCAAGTGTTCTTGCAGAGGATCTAAATTCGATTTCCACATGGTAGTTCACAACCGTCTGTAACTCTAATACCAGTCCCTGGGAAACCAATGCCCTCCTCTAGCCTCCTCAGGCACTATGCACACATGATTGCACAGACATACATACAAGCACAACACTCAATACATTAAATAAAATGAATCTTCGAAAGACAGAGAACAACTTCCTAGTACTGAGGTGACCCACCTAAGTTAAGTCTCATTGTTTATTAAACCCAATTCATAATGCTTAGCTATGTCTCTAATTCTAAAAGGATGGCATGCAAATGAAAACACAGGAATTTTAACCATACTTTAATCAGTATTTCTTAAAATGAGAAACAAAAAAAAATCTTGTTAAAATTGTACATACTTCCCTACTGCTTTACGTGGCAGGGGAGTCTGTGCACCTACTGTGTACAATTGTCACCTCCAGGTCTTGGGAACCAAAGTGAAACACAATGCAAATTACACATGGTTTTTGAGGTTGTGCCTGACCTCTGCTCACCTCTGCAGCCAAAAACACCCTCCCCAAGATGAGAGAAAGACTCCAGGAAAGGAAGGAGTAGGGAATAGAAGAGGGTGATTGTACATTTTTCTCACCTTGATTGAAGTGGTGAGTATTTCTCCATAGAACACCTTACTTTGGGGATTCCCACATCTTAGTTTTGGGATTCCTACTGCTCATGAACCTGCTTAAAACAGAAATAATGTTATAGATGTCTGATGCTGGAATATACCTGCAATATTAGACAGATCAAATTCTTGAGAAGAGTAGAGTGAATGTGTGCTATTCTTAGCACTATATGAATAAAAGAGATCAGTATAGATATTCAAGATGAAAAATTCTTATTGTTAATCCAAAACCCCAATTCAAGGTCCCCCTAACCTTTCCAAGATGATTCCTGATTTTTTCAGGAGGACAAATGTCTCAGAGATTTGAACCAGGAGCTTCTGAGCAGTGTCCAGTCATCCATTTTTTTCTGAATATGACCATCTTCCAGGCCATCATCTTAGAGCCTGAGTACTGACCTGCTGGTCAGGCCTGTGGCTGTACACTGTACTGGTCAGACGTGCGGATGTGCTCAGGGCGGATATTTATGAGCTGTCATCACTCACTTGTGCTAGTTTAAATAATACTTTTACTCAGGTTTCATTTCTACTTCATGCTGTGATTTAAAACTAACAAGTCATTTATACTCATAATTACATGGTTTTTAAAGGATAGCAGTCAACCATTCTGACACTGTTTGCAGTACATTTCACTGTGTACACCTTAGATCTCATCATGGGATTCATGTATAATAAAATGGTTTCTTTCCCAAAACAAATGAACAGATCCACCTGGTTACCCATCTCTCCCCTGTTGCTAAAGCAGCTGCAGTCTACTCCCTCCTCAGATCCCCCGCCTGCACTGCACTGGCATCACTTGCCATTCCCAGGCCGCATGCTAGAATTTCCCACCTGCCATCCTGTTCTCTTGCTACTCTGTGCCTCTTGACCCACATGTCCCCCAAACTTTGTATTTGTTCATCAGTAGAGTCTTAGGATTATGTTTTTATGCTGGTTTTCTTCCTACTTTCCATTTAAAGAGAAAAATTAGAAATTCTACTTGTTAAAATTCAGTGGGAAGACAGATACCAGCAGCCCACCAGAGGCATTGGGAACACAGTCTGTCTGGATAGGACCTTCTCTGCCTGTCTTAGCTTGCAGTGTTTTTGTCTGTACTTTTTTCTGTTGGGGCTGTATAAACAATAGCATCTCTTACCCATTATCGTAAGCTATTTTATGCCCAGACTCTAGACTGATGCCTCCCATCTTTGTTTCCAATCTTTTCAGGTAGTTACCTACCATTGATTTCCTTTACAGTGTTCAAGGCATTGAGATATTTTTGTATCTTCACAAATAAACATTTTCACCTATCTATTCCATTGCTTTTATAGGTAGAAAGTCCTTCATTCTCAAAAGATGTAGATACTACTCAACATTTTCTCAAGTTGCTAATAAACTTTATTCCTAGTTTCATCTTGGCTTTGCCACTGTATCATAAGATGTGAATATAATACTTTTATTTTTTTTAAGTATTTAAACAACTTCCCTGATGCCACTTATAAGATGAACCATTTGCAATAAATGAATCTTTTACAAAAGACATAAAGCCAATTATTCCACATGACATTTTCAAAGCTACTGCAGGGACCAGCTTGTATATACAACAGGTTTGTCTCTAGCTTGGTCTTCGTGTGTTCCAGTCCTTGCCAAAAGGTACCTCACTCTTAGTTCATACCAGAGTGGTCCTTTGATGATTCCCTAGTCTCTTTGTTGAGACTGCTGTGCTGCCAAAGGTGACAGAGAACAACACATGATTGTCCTTGACCTAGTGGATATTAGCTAAGTTCCTGGGAATCCGCCATAGTAGTGAGACTTA